TTTATAGTAAGACCTTAATACAGTTATTAAGTATTTATGGAAAGGTTTTATATAAGTGATTTATCTTACCTCTTTCACATTTGGAGTGGGATTAAATCCACACGTATTGCAGACAGTTCTTTTGCATTCAGTGCAGGTGGAAACGTCTGTTGAGCAGATGTTGAGCTGAATTTTACAAATTGAACAAGAAGGCTGGCGTCGAACTGGATCGTCGGGATTTTCTGTTGAAGCTGTGCCCTCTTTGCCCTGTGTCTTTCGTGCCGGAGATGTTCCTGCCTGCTGCGGTTGTTTTTTGTCCTGTTTTGACATTTCACCTAATGTTTTTGTGGTTTCTTTTTTCGGCTGCATTAAAGGAGAAACTGGAGGTGTACTTTGCGGTTTATCTTGTACATTTGAGGGCTCTGAATTGAAAATAGAGGAACCAAAGCCAAAAATCTTTCCAGTCAATGAATCTTTGGGTTTTTCAGATTCACCTTTAGCACTACCAAAGCTAAACAAACTATCTAACTTCTGTTGGGAGGTTTTGTTAGGGCTTTGCTTGAGTCCAGTTTGACTAGTTGCGGTGGGTTTTTCAGACCCTGGAGCTTTTTGGGTGTCATGTGTTGTTTTTTGACCAGAAGCTATAATGGGATTCTTTCGACCTTCTTGACCTTTAGCTGCTTTGCTATTGGCAGGGACTGTCGCTGTCATATTGGGTTGTATTTTCAGAGGAGAACTTAATGCTGAGGTCTCCTTTTTGACAGGGACAGGAGAAGATGCAATCTTTTTCTGAGTAAGCGAATCTTTGTTTTCCTTGGTCATGAAAGGTGCAGATGTTTCTGAAGATCCTTGAGCTCTATGTATCTGGCAGGTGAGACACAGCCATTCACAGCCCTGAAAATAATAATGTGAAAAAAATAATAATTAAAATGACAAGTACATCATAGCTAGACTTGACAAATAGAACAATAGAACTGACCAAATACTAAGTAACATCTTATTTGTACAGTATGTGTATGTGCTCTGCCTCGTTTCTTTTTTCTTCAGCTTTCCATTTTTTTAAACAATATATCAATTATACATATTTCTCTCTAATTAAACATATTCTCCTCAACACATCTTCTAACAACACTTTTTCCTCTGTATTGTAACTTTACCTTAGATGTCACTCTGATCACTTCATTTCTAATCCTATCTGCACTCACTCAGAAAGAAAATCTTCGAATCTTTAAATCACGCAAAACAGGGCCACTGTCTAATAGAAAGAGAGTTTTTTAACGTAATTAGCAACATGTCCTTTAAATTTCCCTTTATGTACTGTAGAGCTTGAGTAAACAAAAAGAGGGAAGGATTGGCAGCAAGTGTTGGGTCAAAACTCAAAACTCAAAAGGTTGAATATATAATATAGCATTGAGGCATTTACCTATTATCATCATACAAAAATGGCTAATGCAATGTCACTTCAGCTGACACAAACCAATCTGGGCAGAACAAAAATTCAAACCGTCACCTCTTACAGTTTTACCAGCTTTCTAATCTCTTCACAAATGATGTAATGCAAATAATTTGCAAACATCCTAATCCAGGGAGCGTCCTGTTCAAGTTCATCTGTCATCTTGACAGCATTGTCAACAATCACTGATGTAACCCAAATCAACCTTAAACCCATCTGTCTATTTGTATTTATAAATCAATAATGTCTATCTCTTCTCATTACTTAATTTCCTATTCTGATATGAACCGCTATATGCCGTTTGGGTTAAAGGCAGAGGACACATTTCTCTATAAGCCATAGGCGTCTACATTGTTCCATGGGATATTTATACAGACATTAACACGGCTGGTTACACGTTAGCTCTTTCCTGCTTCGGCGCCCTGATCGTAGTTGAAATACACAGGGGGGGACTTAGTGATTTGCTGAAGCTAACATTAGCCCCAGGGCTAACTCCCTTCACTTTGTGCTTGTCCGCGGCAGAAGTAAACAGAAACAGTGAAGTTGGGGTCTTTATTATCAGTCGCACCGAGCACAACAGTACATAAACAGTGTTTTAACTTAGCTCCTGTAGAACCAACTCACGCTTCAGCATGACAGGGCTCAAACTGCTCTCAACTTTGGCTAGCGTTCTCTCTCGTGCACCCCATGCACATATACGCACACAGCCATTCACAGACAGACAGCATAGTAGCCTGTAAAAATCCACAAATTAGCCATTGTTTAAGCCGCAGGGTTCAGAGCGTGTGAAAAAAGTAGCGTCTTATAGACCGAAAATTACGGTAATGATGAAATATTGTCAAGAATCATTATCGATTTTTCCTCCAATAATGAAAATGCCGCAATGCAATGCCTTGGTTTCACCAGGATGACGCGACCTAAACATAGTTTTGAAGTGAAACTGAAACTATTATTTGTATTATGTACACAACAAACCACTGCACACATGAAATGCGTCCTCTGCTTTTAACCCAAATGGCTTCATGCCACTCCTGACTTCCTCATACACCTTATTTTTTTTCTCACCATTATTTGTTTTCTCATGATGCACGAGGTGCACAGCATCAGAATCGATGAATCGATGAGACGTTCTCTGTAGCTCAGCAGTATTTAAGGAAAAATTTAATCTGTATTATTCTGCCATTCTTTTTGGTACTGCACACTGATCTGAACCTCTTTCTTGACCCAGCAACACTTTCTCATACATTAGGTGGTTAAGGACCCTGATATTTCCGTAGTCATATCATACAGTCCTTAAATTGTTTTCAAAACACTCTTTTCTATTTCCATTCTCTAACTTTCAACAATGACATCATAATATCGACTTCCTTCCATGTCACCTCACAAAATTGTCATTTCTGTTGGTTTAAAACGTAGTTCTTAATGATTTCAAGCCAACTTTTCCATTGCCAAGGGGTCCGGGTAACATTCAAATATTAGGACTGTATTGTTTTAATTCTCACTCGTGGTTTGATTTGTATTCAAAATTGAAATCAACCACTTACAAAGAGCAAGAATATTGTTAGCATTGTTGTAATCACATAGCTATTTATTGTTTTTTCCAGATTGTAAATCGCTTGAAAGTATAAGTCGCAACAGTGCCCAGTAAATTTCCAGTGGTGCAGGAGTAGCAGATACTGGTACACAAGCCTGGAGTGCCCTTTCACATCTGTCAGTGTGAAAATAACGAACGTGAAATTATATATTTTAATATAAAAGTCGCAACTGAGTATAAGTTGCAAACCCAGCTAAAGGATGAAAAAACGTGTGACTTATAGTCTGGAAAATATGGTAATTGTAAATTGATTTATTGTTGAGTTATCCATAGTGACTCTATGAGTTATCAGATAAAACATTTTTAATGTTTGACACTCCCTAGTTATTATAGTATAAATTTTATGTTAATTTTAGAATATAATTTAAGGAATTTATCCAGTTGAAATATATTTTTTTAATTCATAAGAAATTGTTATTTTTGTTGAAGGCATCATTTACTTTAGTAGATTTGGAATGGTTGCCTGTCATTCTATAATACCTTTAGTTTGTTTTTCCTCATTGTATAGATTTGACAAAATTACGCTAACTCTTCCATATATTTCTATCATATATCGCACAAACACAGACAGAAAACTCTGGTTGACAATAGGTACTATACTTTCAATAGCATACATTAAACTTGTATTACCATTAGCCAGAGGTGGGACCAAGTCATTGCTTTGCAAGTCACAAGCAAGTCTCAAGTCTTTGCACTCACGCAAAGGCAAAGTCTGAGTCAAATCCAAGTCAAGACTGAAAAGTGTCAAGTTAAGTCCCAAGTCCTGCCGTTTCTGTTTCGAGTCCTTTCGAGTCCCTCATTGGTTGATACCAAAGATCGTGTTTTTAAATCCGAACAACAGGATCTTTGGTATCGTTTTCTCTAACCCACGCATTGTTTGACAGCTCTTTCTCATTGGTTGTCCCGCAATTTGATTGGCCAACGTTTTATTTGATTGGATGTTGTGCCGACAGCACATACGTGCACAATGAGAGATACACAGCGCTCCTCAATAACTTACTTTATAATCTTTGGGTTTGGGGGAAAGTATCAAGTCTTGTCGAGTCAAAGGGCTCGAGTCCAAGTGAAGTCACGAGTCATTGATGTTAAAGTCCAAGTCGAGTTCCAAGTCTCTTTACATTTTGTCAAGTCGAGTCTAAAGTCATCAAATTGATGACTCGAGTCTGACTCGAGTCCAATGCCCGAGCCTGGAGTCCACACCGCTGCCATTAGCCAGGACTTACCTCAGAAGCACCTCTGCCATTAGCCAGGACTTACCTCAGAATCCGGAGGACTGAAGCCACACAAGTTGCAAACTTCAGTTTTACACTGCGTACAGGTGTTATAGTTGGGTCTTTCCGTGGTATGAAAATTAAGTTCCATTTTATTACACACTTGGCAAAGCACCCTCGATACTTGTTTGGATTGAGAGTCGCCTTTAGATGTTGCTCCAGTTCCAGTTTGAAGGGACTCCGATTCTTTAGATCCAGTTCCAGTTTGAAGGGACTCCGATGCGTTAGTTCCTTTCAGACCTTGCTGCTCTTGTCCAGTTTTTTCGGTGGGCAGTTGTTGAGATGTAGACCTCTGACTCTGCTGCTGCTGCTTTTCTACTGTTTGTGAAGCTTGCTTTTTCTCTAAAACCTTTGGGGACCCTTTTTGTTTTGGTCCATCTGATGAACTCTGCTTTTGTTGGCTTACTTCTGGCGAACCTTTCATTGTTCCAGGTTTCTGTGGCCCAGCTGTTGTATATTCTTGTACCTTAGGTTGTTGCTGTTGTGTAGCAGTTTTAACTGGTCCTTGTTGTCGTGTACCTGTTTTTGGTGAAACTTTTGGAAATTCTTTTTCTATACCACTCTTTGACATTGCATGTTGCTGAATTAGTTTTGGAGAGCCTTCCTGGTCTTGGACCTTAACGGATTTTTTTGGTTGCTCTTCTTTAGGCAGAATTGCAATCTTTCCACCTGCCTTTTGAGTGGCTTGCTGTCCACCAGCCTTGATGGGAATATCAGTCTGTCCACCCACGCACCCCTGTGCTGACCTGTGATTTGGTAGTGATTCACTCTTTTCCTGGCCTGACTTTTGGGATACATGCTGTAGTTGAGGACCTTTACCTGGATCAGCTCTTGGCTTCTCTTTTTCCAGTGGTTTACCTCTCTGTTGTGGAGGAGTTTTCCGATTTTTGTCCCCCTGCTCATCATCTCCAAATAAGCCAAACTTATTAACTGCTGAGGTTACAGCATTGAGGGGGTTGGCCCCACTAAGGAATTTTGAAGAAAACATGGCCTGATGTTCTTCCCCTTCAACGTCCTCCTCTTCGCTAGAGCTGGACTCTAGTAAACTGTCAGAGCAGTTGCTGTCTTCTGTCTGCCCTGGCTCTCCCGATGAGGGCTGGGGGGTGGACACCTTGGAGAGGGCATCTGCAGCCTCAGTGATGCTACTGCTGCTTCGGCTACTGCTGCTGCTTCCAGGGCTCTCTTCTGGTTCAGCATTTATATCAGATTTTCTAAATGAGAATTTAAAATAAAAAAAAGAAAGAAAGATAGATATAAGATAACAAGCAAACAATAATTTGCATGGAAATATATAGTTAAACGAGTCACTGTATTTTCTTTGGACCTACACAGTTAGCATTGTCATACATATTCCATTAAATGTGATTATATTTAATCAGCATATATCAGTTGCAAATCCTTATACTACATATACGTTTGGCACAAGCCTGATGACTGTAATGCCCGCAATTTACATTTTGCTGCTTCATCCCCACTTACATCTCTACCTACAGTGCAAATACTGTTGAATATGTTTGTAATTGTAATGAAAATATTATATAATATAATATCATTTTCAGTGTGGCTTTGTCCGTGCTCTTTAAAGATGGCTTATGATCGAACATATACAGTATGTTACATTTGAATTATTTTCCCAAAAAGTATAATATGTTGAAACTTCAATTTTAATTTGAAAAAGTCAGTCTCTTAAATTTTAAAGGTTTACAAAAATTCCCTTATTAATAAGACACTAACGGTCTCAAATTGACAGGCAATGCCTCCTTTACTGTAGAGACATTTGGTTGTAAACAGAAATGTGCATAGATCAAGACTCAAGACCATGTGTAACAACAATTATTCAGCTGGAATTTTTCAGCCATTTAATTAACTAATTACATTTGTAAAAACTAGTGCCAAACTCTGATTAATTATTGGATGGATTGTGGTTAAATCATGATTAAGGATGATTAATGAAGATAAATCCAACTATACTTTCTTGATGTGCAAAAACAGTTTTTGGTATATTGCTGGAACATTCAGGAAAGGAAAGGAAGGTGAACGACTTTGTCATTAAGCCTTCCGGACACAAGGCCGCTTCCTTAACCACTAAGGCACCACTGCCCGAGCAAGTAGAAATTTCTTTTTCATAATGTTTCATATCTTTTTTTGTAAATTTGTAAATAATCCGAACGATGGAATCATTACAGAAAAATTTCTAGAAATCTGTACTTGACAGTAACTTGTAGAATAAGTCAAGGGTTGCCAAACGCAAGCAAAAAAACGCAGCCAGCGTGAGCTTGTCTGAAACCCAACATGTCTACGGTGTGGACAAAATTTCAATATATCTGCGTAAGACCCACGGATAGCAATTTGCAAAACATGTATTGCTGAAAATTTTAAGATGGGTTGAAAAGTACACTCATAGAGTCTGTCAGCCCACATTGACATAGTCATAGCCATAAATGCAGTAGTACTAACAATTGGCATAATTATATAAATATATATATATATATACACACACAGCATATTTACAATTCACAACATTCACAGCATCCTCTCTGATTGTAGTCAACAGAGCGAGTTATGGCTCAAACTAATATGCAGGGTGTCATTTAATGAGTACCAATGGGGAAAAAAATTATGTATGTATATATGTATATATATATATATATACAACTGAAGTCATAGCCGGTAGGGGCCCATCGAGTAATGCGCGGAATATTCCCCTTCTAAACGGCAACACTCTACCTCTGGATGGGCAGCCAGTGTGGCCTACACTTGTATGCACATGTATGACAGCAGATTAAACGTGTATTATTCAGCTCAGCTCAGAATCAACCGCTACCGAATGACTGCGTGCGACTGTTATGTAATCATCAATAAGGTTGTTTTTTTGTTTTTTTTTCATTATTTTTTATTTAAGCGTCAAGATAATAAACAACCATAAAGCGTGCGACATTGCTCTGCGGATGGTACATATGATGGTGATAGCTCCCGGTGCTTCCGGGGGGGTTTTAGCAACCCTATTTAATAATACATCGTGAAACATTTGTTTGCCCTTGACCCATTCAAGGCGGTCAATGAAGTCCGAGACCTGGTCGCAAATCAGTGAGAGGAAAACCCAGCCGCATCCAGCGGTATGCCCCTCACATCTCCCCTCCCCATCCCCACAGCCCAGCATCACCCACGCACCGCGTCACAATGTCAACAACCTTAGTGGTTTTTAAATATACAAAGGTGGAACCTTTACCAGTAGCAGCGGAAGATCTGTCTCCCCATCTCCGCCAGAAACATTCTTGTAAAACCTGATCTGATCTTAACGTCTAAGGATGGAGTGATTTCAGAAGGTAGCAGCAGCAGCAGCGAGGCAGCAGAGTGTGTGTGCGTGTGTGTCAGAGAGAGAGAGAGAGAGAGAGCGAGAGAGAGAGATCAGCATCCTTTCTCCGCCTCCTCATTCAGTGCGCAGGCGCCTTCTTCTGGCCAACGAGCAGAAAAATGATCGAGCAAAAACGAAAAAAAAAAAAAGAAAGAAAGAAAGAAAACGAAAAAGAAAAAAATTCATTACATCATTTCATACTGATGAAGTTTTACCTACATGCTTTTTAATAGCGCATCTATTAGAAATGTCAGTTATATGAGTTGGAAAATCTCCTGGTGAGAGACTTGCTGAGGCTGGTCAGTAAGTCTGAGACATGTCTAATGGAACACTAGAAAAACTGATGTTTTGAAAACAAATCTTGACAGCATTCTGTCAAGATGCACCCTAAAGACTAAAATCCACCGACCCTATGAAGAAAAATGTACATATTATTAAATAAATATATTAAATATATTACATATCTTTATTAGGGTTTGAGTTATACCTTTTGCATATTTTTTTCTATACTTATAATTCTGTATTTTTTATTAAATCTAAAAGCAGGTGTGAAAACATACATATATTGGCTGTTATTTGTCTTTCTGTTCTAGCAATATACAGCAAAAATGATTGTCATATTTAAAAATGGCAAGTTACCCTGATCATCACGCACTATTATTTTGTTGCACTTTTAGCTTTGATGCCGCATATATTCACTGTGGCATTGTTTTGATATGCTTATATTGGAAGTTCTGGGCTTTGTGGTGGGCAAGACACGTGTGAAAATGAATTGCTCTTTTATGATTTGAGCCCAATGAATTCTGGCATTGTCATTTGAACACTAGGAATATGTCTCTTCAGGTGCAGGAAGTTTTTTTCAGTATACAAAATTTAAATACATCCACTTACTGGCAGAGGTGTGGACTCGAGTCACATGACTTGGACTCGAGTCAGAAATTTGATGACTTTAGACTCGACTTGACAAAATGTAAAGAGACTTGCAACTCAACTTGGACTTTAACGTCAATGACTCGTGACTTCACTTGGACTCGAGCCCTTTGACTCGACAAGACTTGATACTTTCTCCAAAACCCGAAGTGATCTGTGTAAATATATTATTATTTTGTTTAAAAGGACTCAAAACAGAAACGTAAGGACTTGGGACTTGACTTGACACTTTTTAGTCTTGACTTGGACTCGACTCGGACTTTACCTGTCTTGACTTGAGACTTGACTCGGACTTGAGTGCAAAGACTTGAGACTTACTTATGACTTACAAAGCAATGACTTGGTCCCACCTCTGCTTACTGGATTTCAAGACCAGGCAGAAACAAACATGATGTCAGGGTAGTGGGAAGACTAGGCACGACCGGCTAGCCACGAAACAACAACAATAATCCCACAAAGACAGACTAAGGGAGAAAGGTGTAGTTAGTTCAGTCCCAATCCCTTGAATTCCCTTCACGTTTTATGTGTAGGAAAAGCTTCTACATTCACGATTAAACATAGCCCTGACTTCTGCTGTTGTTTTCCTGCGATTTAATTTCGCCAAGCATTTAAGTGATCATCAATAATGATCAGTTCGGATTTCTCTCCATCTACATTTCTTACTTCCTTGAAGATGATGGCCCCCCACTGTCCTTCCAGTTTTAATAATGCCTTGGGTAGTTCTTAACCCAATATTAGGTACAGTTTTCGCAATCCCCTTAGATGTTTTCTCTGCTTGATGCATGTCAATGTTTTGACCCATAAATGTACTAATATATATATATATATATATATAGTAAAGATATTATTATTATTATGATGCTTAACTAATAGTGAAATTACTGCATCATAAAAGTTAAACCTCAAGAATGGAAAACTACTGAGTAATTGTGTGACAACTGTAGCATGACAAGATATGACAGAACAAAACAATCCTTTATAAAACGTGACATCTGAGTAACAAAGGTCACGGTAATTTGTAAGTTTCAGGACGGCTTTTCAAAAGACGGCTAAGGACATCCAATCAGAAGATGACAACGTTTGCGTGCACAACTTTGTTATGCTTAAAAACCTGGGTCAGGGAAAGATAGTTGGTCAGACTTCGTGAACTGACATCCTATACTGTTTGTCAGGGATGCTCAGATCTCTGTATCTCTACTTTCCCAGAGCTCTGGAACTGCCTATTTTGCTGATTCCGTAATAAACACGAGTTAACAGGAACTGACTCACACAGAGAGAGATTTAAGCAGAATGAGCAGAACCTAACAATATACATACATATATAAATATATAAA